AGACATTTTCAGATGACATAGCTGATAAAGGGTTAGTATCCAAAATCTATAAAGAACTTAACAAACTGAACCCCCTAAAGAAACCAAATAATCTGGTTAGTAAATGGACAGAAGACTTGAATAGACATTTCTGCAAAGAAGACGTCCAGTTGGCTAACAGGTGCTCTACATCACTTGTCATCAGGGAAATACAAATCAAAACCATGATGAGATGCCACCTCACACCTGTCAGAACGGCTAAAATCAACAACACAGAAACAACAGGTGTTGGTGAGGATGCGGAGAAAGGGAAAGCTTCTTGCGCTATTGAGGGGACTGTAAACTGGTGCAGCTAGTCTAGAAAACAGCATGGAGGTTCCTCAAAAAGTTAAGTAATAGAGCTACCCTACAATCCGGCAATTGTAGCTCTAGTTATTTACCCGACAGATATGCAAATACAGATGCAAAGGGACATGTGCACCCCAATGTTTATAGCAGCATTATCAACAATAGCCAAACTGGAAAGAGCCCCAGTGTCCGTTGACTGATGAATGGGTAAAGAAGATGTGAGATATGTGTGTGTGTGTGTGTGTGTGTGTGTGTGTGTGTGTATAATACACACTATGGAATATTACTCAGCCATCAAAAAGAACAAAATCTTGCCATTTGCAATGATGTGGATGGAGCTAGAGAGTATTACGCTGAGTGAAACAAGTCAATCAGAGAAAGACAAAGACCATATGATCTCACTCACGTGTGTAATTTAAGCTATAAAACAAATGAACATAGGGGAAAGGGAAAAAAAGAGGGAAGCAAACTGTAAGAGACTCTTAACTATAAAGAACAAACTGAAGGTTGCTGGAGGGGTGGTGGTGGGGGATGGGCTAAATGGGTGATTGGTATTAAGGAGGACACTGGGTGTTGCACGTACTTGAGGAATCACTAAATTCTACTCCTGAAACCAATATTACGCTATAGGTTAACTAACTAGAATTTAAATAAAAATTTGGAAGAAAAAAGTATTTTCTTCAAATGAGTAAGACAAAGACATGGTAAAAAACACAGAGTGTAAGGGTTATACAGTGGAAAGTATGCTTCCTTCCTGCCAAACATCCTTTCTCAGAATAGTAGCTATTTTCAATCAGCTTCATATGTTTTCTTCCAGAAGTATTCTCTGTGGTGTGCCTGGGTGGTTCAGTCGGTTAGGCATCTGACTCTTGACCTCAGCACAGGTTTTGGTCTCATGGTCATGAGTTCAAGCCCTGTGTTGGGTTCCACACTGGGTCTGGAGTCTACTTAAAAAACAGACAACCTCTCTGCATATAGAGGCACCTGCATATATGTATGCATGTATATGTTTATCTATGTCAATTTGTATATACTATTTTTAAACAAATGATAGCAAACTTCTCCATCTTTCTTTTTGTTAACTGTGTAGTTTAGTGATTATCCCATATCAGCATGTTAGATCTTCCTTATTCTCTGTCACAATTATACATTATTATTATTTTTTAAAGATTTATTTATATTTAGAAAGAGAAAGAGGATATGGTGAGGGAGGGGAAGAGGGAGAAGGAGAGAGAGGGGAGCAGACTCCCTGCTGAGTGGGGAGCCTGATGCCAGACTCAATCTCAGGATCCTGAAATAATGACCTGAGCCAAAACCAAGAGTTGGGTGCTTAACCAGCTGAGCCACCCAGGTACCCCATAGCTATACATGATTTTTTAAAAAAAGATTTTATTTATTTATTTGACAGAGAGGGAGAGAGAGAGATCACAAGTAGGCAGAGAAACAGGCACAGTGCGGGGGCAGGCTCCCTGCTGAGCAGAGAACCCGATACAGGGCTCAATCCCAGGACCCTGGGATCATGACCTGAGCCAAAGGCAGAGGCTTAACCCACTGAGTCACCCAGGTGCCCTGCTATACGTGATTTGATTGCACATCATTACATACTAATTACAACTTATTTCATCTTATTTCTTTTTTAAAAGATTTTATTTATTTATTTGACACACACAGAGCACAAGCAGGGTAAGTGGCAGGCAGGCAGGCAGCCGGAGAGGGAGAAGAAGTCTCCCTGCCGAGCAAGGAGCCCGATGTGGGGCTCGATCCCAGGACCCTCAGATCATGACCTGAGCAAAGGCAGCTGCTTAACCAACAGCCACCCAGGTGCCCTTGAATCTTATTTTTAATGGTGGGCATTTAATTTATTTCCAGTGACTGGCTATTTCAAGTTTTGCTGCAGTGACCATCCTGAGCATTTGTGTATCTGTTCAAGTAGATCTGTATCATGAGGTATCAGAAGCAGAATATTTGGGTCCAAGATTATGAGTACGTTATATTTTAGTAGAAATTACCAAATTTCCCTCTGGAGAAATGTCAACAATCTGCATTTGCACCAGCACGTTTTTTCCGTATACCTTCACCAATTCTGTGAATCCATCTGTGCTAATACGAATTTATAATGCCATCTCATTGTTAGGTAATTTTGTACTGCTGTAATTCTGAGGGAGCTTGAACAGCTTTCTCTTCATAGGCTTAAAAACCATCTCTCTGTGCACAGCTTGAGTATGCTCTTTTTCCATTTGAGAAAGCACATATTACGAGGGCTGGCCCAGATTGGCCTGGCTCAGTAGAGCCACTCTCCCCAAGGCTTATCTGGGGCTCCCTTTCAGCTCCTCTAGCTCCTGTCTCTCTGTTTTCAGTGTCTGGATGCTGGTCTGGCAGTCATAGAAGCCCTAGGCTGTGTATCTGTGCCAGTGCACCCATCTAGTTGCCCCTGATAAGTGAAAGCTGACTGCACAGTTCTGTATTTATTTATGGCTTTTCTTCCAGCTACAAGAAGGATTTTTATTCCTCTTCACCCAATTCCTGAGAGTTGGTGTGAAGCAAGTGTCTTCTCAATTTCATAGTATAGCGAATGGAGATGAAGACGTTTAATGGTTTGTCTGAGCACCTAGTGAGACATCTGCCAAGTCTACGAGTATAAGATGTTTGGCGGTGTCACTGGGTGGAACATGGTACCAGGAATGTAGAGAGATGTACTTTTTGCTTTTGGTTTTCGTATGGATTTCTTGAGAGAGATTGGGCAAAACATACTCCATCTCTCAGATCAGTTTTGTCATCTGAAGGCCTTCAGACCACAGCGAAGTTCTGACACCCATGGAAAGAGGAGGAAAGAAGAAGGATTGGGGAGGAAGAACTTTGGCTTGTAGAACAAATCTGAGAGAGTCTCAACTGTGCAGATGGCGAGATCCAGAGCAGGGATTACCCATTAGAGGATCATCAGAGACAACAGTGTTTCGACCCCCAAACCCCTGTTGTGTGCAGTCATTGACTAGGAACTCTTCAGGCAGACATTGGTCTTGGCTTGAATACTGGGGTACCCCTTAAGACCCTGCAATTGGGGGATTTCGGTGAGCTGTACTCCTCATGGCAGACTCCCCTTTGCAGGGAGCTCTGGGATTAAACCCCCATGACTGCCACGGCTGGTGGTTTGGGTGGCTTTAGTCATTCCAGCAGACCCCTTCAAAGGCATTGCAGGTGTGGAGGCAAAAATTACTCCAGGATTAAGCAATATTATACTCATCTTCTTCCTACACTTCTTCATTTGTTACTTAAATTGCTTGCTGGAGGTAATTTGTTTTCTTTTACTGTGGAATATATTGTACATAGAATCTGCATAATTTTGTATTCATTTAGACACAAGGGAGGGACCAAGTGCCAAAACAATGAGAAAATCCCAGATCCTTAGGTGTTTATGGGAAGAGAGGCACAATATGTCCAGATTTCCCAAAAGGAAAGAGGTACATGGAATTTCTAGTGGCAACCCTTCTTATCTGAGTTTGCTCAGGACCCTCAAGGTCCTGAGACTTTCCTGTCTCATGCCTGCTTCTGGTTTCAGCCACAGCTGTGGGGGACTGTTCTATGGAAGCTCAGAGTAACCTGGTGGTATCATACCTGAAGCACAGAGGTACAGAGCTCCTTTGTGTGTTCTGCCCTTGGGTCTGTTCTGAGCTGTCAGTCTAGTGGGTCCTGGAAAGCCTCCCTGGAAAGGTCAGGGAGTTGATGATGTGTCTGAGTCAAGCTCAACCAGGGATTAGAGTCTGTGGATGAAGGCCTAGACCATTGTCCTTCAGGTGGGCAGTTCTGGGAGGCACTCTAGCTATCTCTGGAGCTCCCAGGAAATGGAACCCCTTTGGCCAACAGCAGGAACCTCAGTTATGCACCTTTATTTGGTCTTTTCCTCCCTGTGTATCTTACTTCTCTTGGTTCCTCATTTCCTTCAGTTATCTGAGATTACCTCCAAAATAAACTACCTACACCCCCTCTGTCTCAGGATCAGCTTTTTGGGGGGAACCCAAATAGGGCTCACAGGCCCCCAAACCCTGAAAAGTGGGTCCTAATGACGTAGGTAGCGATTGGAACCTTTTTGTGAACTGTGAATGAAGAGGTAGGAGACTTCTCTCCTTTCTTCTGATGCCTTCTTTACATCTCTGTTAAGCGGTGTGGTGCATTATGGTGTCTCATTGGGAATGGCCTGGAATTGCTAATCTTAGGGTGATTGGTACAAAGAAACAAAGAAGATTTGGTCAAGAGCCTATGACCACCACCTGTGTGGCAGCCTAGATATTCTTGACTCCCTGCTCTAAACTTCACTTGGCTTTTCTTTAGGAAGACCCAGCCTGGGATCATTTCCTCCACAATAGATTCTACGTAAAACTGAGTCTGAACTATGGAGCTCCTATAGGCTTCAAGGTTGTATTGTTCTGAATAATTGCCAGATGTCCTCAGATGTCTTGCTTCTTGGCTCTTTGCTTACGCTTGTGATCATTCTTGATTTTGGTTTTTATTTATGTCCCCCTGGTTCTGTCTTCAACAAGTTCAAGTAGGACCCAATCACTAAAGCTTGCTTAAAAATTGAAAAAAAATTTAAAAATTGTGGTAAAATATGCATAACATGAAATTTACCATCTTAACCATTTTTAAGCGTCCAGTTCAGTGGCATGAAGTACACGCACATTGTTGTGCGACCACGACCACCGTCTGTGCACAGAACTCTTTCATCTCGTAAAAGTGAAGGTCTGTATCCATTGCACAACATCTACCCATCTCCCCCTTCCCCAGACCATGGCAGCCAGCGTTCTACTTTCTGTTTCTATGAATGTGACTACTCTAGGCACCTCATGTAAGCGGGATCCAACAGTATTCACCTGTTTGAGGTCGTCTTATTTCACCTGGCGTCATGTTCTTGAGCTTCACCCATGTTGTAGTGTATCTCGGGATTTCCTTCTCTTTCATGGATGAATCCCATTTCATTGTAAGTATGTACGGCATTGTGTTTATCCTTTCGTCCACCTGTGGACACTTGGGCTGCTTCCACCTTTTGGCTGTTGCACATAAAGCTCTTATGAACATGGGTGAATGAGGCTCACTTTTGATGCTCTTCCACTGAGAAGCCTCCCCTTATGCTTCTTCTGTCCTTGGTAGATGGTGAGCAGTGATGTGGCAGTGTCTCACTCATCCTCCTATCCCACTGACAAAAAGAGAAACTATAGAATACTAGACACTTAAATCAATGGTTGTTGAATTCCTCGATTCCCATATGCATTATTTCCCCCAAAGCTACAGAGATCCTGAATCTCCATGGCAGCTTGCTCCAGCGGCCAGCTGGTTCTCACCCTCCGGTGTCGGTAGCCATCTCGAGTATCTGTTAAGTCAGCGCACGCTCCTGGACTCAGTGTCTGTTGCTGCCCTCCGCGATCAATTTCTGCCTCAACTCTTGGCTCTGACCTGGAAATTCTGACTTAGACTTGCAGTTAGGCTCACTTGTTGAGTCGTCCTCATTGATGGACAATAAGAACAGGATTGTGAGGGGATTAAATGAGATGGTGTGTGTAAAGGACCTAGCAGAGACCTGGCTCATGCAAGTGCACAGTGAATAGTGACCCTTATTATCGAGCACAGCATCACCCATTATATACAATTATAGATTATGTTTATATATATGTGTGTATATATGTCACTCTTTTTACTTATATTCCTCTTCAAAAATCATCTAAGGCTTATAATAATTCAAAGTTACATGTATAAAAGAATTATTGAAGTAAGACCAGAAAAATCTAGAGTAACATTTTAGAGACAGGAAAATCATAATATCAGAATCCTAGATTAAGTGTAGCTGTGGTACTTACCATCAAATTGAGCTTTGATCCTGCATTTGCACCACAGACAGCATGAGAGACCCGAGTTTGTTACTTGCCTCCATCTCCACAACGGGTCCAGTCCCTGTCCCTGAGGAGGTGGTAGCCATGCTCTGTTCTGTAACTCTCGGTGAACCCACTTCTGACTGGCTATGACTATGAATACAGAAGAGCTGGACCACTACAGCACTGGTTTGGACCATGACTTTGTACATGGACAAAAAGGAAAGAAAAGAAGCAAGAAACACCTCCATCATCTCTTTCATATCTCAGGGAACAGAAGAAAGAAGATAGCCACTTCTGTGGGGAGTGCTCGTGGGGGAACTGAACACTCCTTTCGATGTTTGGTGAAGAGTATGGAGCAGAGCAAGGGAGAAAGGGGTTACGAGGGGAGTGTTTTTCTTCTCTGTTTTGTACTTGGAAAGGAGAGGTTAAGATTGAATAAGGGAAAGAACTCCTTTTTGGATCCGAGTATAACTGTTCCCTTTGCTGCGGTCACAGGGTTTGGAAGACTTGCCTGGGCAAGACCCATGAGAACGGTGAGAACAACGTCTGCCTGAGCAGATGATGCTGTACTGGGCAGGGCCTCAGAGCTGATGCAGGCTTCTCAGTGTAACTGGCTGGGTTACTCTCCCTGGTCATGAATATCAATACTCAGTTCAGCGGTTATCTTCCCAGGGTATTTTCCTGTGAAGGGTTGCTTAGGTTTGAAGTCGTGTCTAGTATGAGCCGATTAGACAGTTTGTGTCACTGAGGATGTCAAAATACTTCTCATCTCCCTATTCAGTGATACTACTTAAAGCCTGCCTCAGGGCCCTTTCACTGCTATGGACTGAATTGTGCCCCCCCAGAATTTATATATTAAAGCCCTAACCCCCAATACGACTGCGTTTGGAGAGAGAGCCAAGAGGAGGTAATTAAGGTTAAATGGGTCATAAGGATCGGCCCTGATCTGACAGGATTAGTGTCCTCAGAGGAATAGATAGCAGAGTGATGCTCTCTCCTCCTTCGCCCTCTCCCTCTTCTTTTCTCTCTCTCTCTCTCTGTATCATGTTAGGACACAGTAAGAAGATGGCTGTCTGCAAGCCAGGAGGAGAGCTCTCACCAGAAAACAAATCCAGCTGGCATTTGGGTCTTGGACGTCCCAGCCTCTAGAACTGTGAGACACCAATTTCTCTTGTTCAAGACACCCAGTCTATGGGATTTTGTGACGGTAGCCTGAGCAGACTAATATACTGACTGCATACCCAACCCGGGGACCAGGACAATTACACCATCCCTGCTACCAACCCCACAATGACCTGTGTGATCTTACATGGCTTGCACGTTCTGCTTCTGTCCTGACCATCCTCACCCAGCTTCAGCTAGTCAGAGCCACGTCTCCTCTGTCTGACGTGACAGCCCAACCGGGAAATGACCAGCTCACTCCCAGCACAAGGGAGCCCGTGGTGCTTTCCTGCGTGGGCCTCTCTAGGTCTCCCGAGATAGGAGAAGCAGCCTTTGGTGCAGCTCCCCCTCTCCTGCATGTGTTGGAGCTTCTGGGACATCAGTTTAAAATATACTCTTAGCTTCTCCTACTTCTATATAGGAGCTCCTGAGGATGGGGAGGAAGTAAGTACCTCTGGGCATTCTACGATTGTAGCTGAAGTGTCTTCTGTAAACCTGAAATTCTTGGGGAGTCTTTTTTACCTTAAAAACATTCTTGGCATTTTGCCTTATACTTCATAATATTTTTGTGATAATTTTAATATGCCATGTTTCCCCAGTCAAGTGTGTATGTGTGTGTGTGTGTGTGTGTGTGTTGCAGTATATGATTTGTACTCATGGGATTCACATACCTTGGCATAGCTCAAGAGCCCCTTGGGGATATGCATGCGTCAGTCTGAAAAATACGATTTTATACAATTGTTAGAAAAGGTATTACTTTCTTGTTAGCTTGGTAGAATAAGGCGACATCAACCTTGTATATATCATAGTTGCCATAAATGCCTATGGCGTACCAAGCATTGTGCTATTTGATTAATATTGTGGCCACCTATAAGGGTAGAATGGACTCCTACCCCAAATTTGGTTTGATATCGACTAATGATAGCGTACACACCAAGAGGGATGAAAAGATTTATTACTTGTGTGATGCAGAATTCTGGGGTGAGCAGAGCAGGCATTCCAAGCTGATCTGAAAATGGCTTGTGAGAGCAAGGACAGGAGACTGGTTTGGGGTTTTTACTGTGGTTGGGGAGTGGGGCCTCAGTGAGGGATGCCAAAGGAGGGAGTTTCCATCAGTTTGAGTAGAGATGAGGCAGGAAGGGAAGGCGGAGGGTGAGCTTAAAAGTTGTCAACAATCAAACATCAGAAAACGAGCCTGACTATTGGAGTTTGATGTCTGTTTTCTTACTGAATCATTATCACATACCATGAGGAGGGTTCTATGGTGATTCACATTTTACAGATGAAGGATTGTGGATCAAAAGTGTTAAGTGACTTACCCAAGGTCACAAAGCTGGTACACAGTGCTGAATTCAGGCCCAGGGCACTCAGATCTAGGTCTGTATTCTTAGCTACTACAGACCCATCAACCATAATACCTAACAGAACTTGCTTCTCATTTCAGGCTTTTTTGGGTATGTGGGTCTCTGTCCTCTCCCCCGCCGCCCCCCCACAATCCAACAGTGAGCTCCAGGAGTGGAGGGACCAAATCTGTTTCATCTTTGTGACTCTCCCAGCCCCAACTAGGACCACTGTGTTCCATAATGGTAGCTCAGTGGCACATGTTAAATTGAATCAAGTTCAAGTTATAATATCATCCCTGAGGAAAAAAGGAAACATCCCACTGAAAGAAATCATTAGAGTATCAATGGCCACCTTTTAATGAGCACTAACTGTGTGCCAGCCGCGTATCAGGGGCTTCACACTGCACCTTCCAAGAGCCACGCACAATTAGTGGGTTGATCCTGGCTTAGAGGGAGGTTGAAGTTTAACAAGAATAAATGTGAAAAATCTGCATTTTGGCTTACACATCAGTTGTGTAAGTAAAACTCGGGATGGACAAGCTGAGGAGCAGTTTCCATTAAAAAGAACTTTAAAACATTGTCAACTTAACTGCATACTAGGTCAAACCAGCCAGGCAATGTGCCTGGTTCCTTAGAAGTAAATGCATTTTCAAGCCGAATTAATGGAAATTCAGTGTTTAGAGCAAGTGGGATGATAGTCCATTGAACTCTGTACAGGATCTTCAGAGGGTTACATGTGGTGCTGGACTGTAAGTTCTGAGAGGGATATTGGCAACCTGAGACTCATGCCGAGAAGAGACCTTGAGGAAGGTCCTGTGAGGACATAACCAGGAAGAGGGTCCTCGCTAAGAGCTCAACCCTGCGGCACCCTGATCTTGGACCTCCAGCCTCTAAACCGTGAGAGACCAATGTCTTTTGTTTATGCCACCCAGTCTGCGGTGTTTTTGTTGTAGAGACCCAAACTGACTGACATCCCACGTCCCCTCACTCACCCCCCACCCCTGTGCGTAGCATCCGTTAACCTACTTTCTGACTCAATCGATTTGCCTGTCTTGTTTGGAGATTTCGTATAAATGGGATCAGTGCATGTGGACTGTGTTAGCATGATGTTAGCATGATGTTAGCATGATGTTTTTAAGCGTCGTCCATGTTGTAGCAAGTGTCCATCCTTCATTCCTCCTTATTGCTGAATATTATTCCCCTTATAGATTTATCACATGCTGTTTATCCATTCCTCAGCTGATGTGGGTTGTTTCTGCCCTTTTGCTATTGTGAGTAAAGCTCCTATGAATACTTGTGTGCAGGTACTTTTTGAACCTCTGTTTCTAGCCCCTTTTGGTAGGTACCTAGGAGTGGAATTGCTGGGTCATATTGTAACTCT